CACACAAAGCATTGACTGCCAGGGCAAAGCGTTGGTCTGGAGAGTTAGAATAATCGAATCCTAGGGTACGAAGAGACCTCAGGAGTCATCGAGTCCAGCCCCCTCCCCAAAACAGGACCAACCCCAACTCAATCATCCCAGCCAGGGCTTTGTCAAGCTCGGACTTAAAAACCTCTAGGGATGGAGAGTCTACCAGCTTCCTAGGGAACTCATCCCAGTGCTTCCCCACCCTCCTAGGGAAATAGTTCGAGAGTCTACCAGCTTCCTAGGGAACTTATCCCAGTGCTTCCCCACCCTCCTAGGGAAATAGTTTTTCCTAATATCCAACCTAGACCTCCCCCACTGTAACTTGAGACCATTGCTCCTCGTTCTGTCATCTGCCACCACTGAGAACAGCCTCTCTCCATCCTCTTTGGAACCCTCCTTCAGGGAGTTGAAAGCTGCTATCAAATCATACTTTGGATTGTATTCTGATGTAGCAAGGGATGCTTTGGATTGTATTCTGATGTAGCAAGGGGGTTTAAGGTGATGGCTGTTGATACGGCCATGTTTGTACTGCACATGGGGGCCAGAGTGACCCCAATTCTAGCTGTTTGTCAGTAGCAGGAAAATCACACATAGCCCTTCCCTGCTATTGGCGTAGGATTTGCTGGGCATCTCAAAAGGAGGTTTATTAGGAACACACCCACTTAGCTGAAAGTTGTGGAAGCTTTAAGAGAAAAGCCTTTTATCCAAAATGTTCATTGTTGACTTGACAGAGGTGCTCATGGACAACAGTCACCCTTCTGGTCAACTCAAAGGATAGAACTGGAGACATCCAGAGGTAATATCACGAGCTCAAGTTTAAGTGACAAGGCTATCTAACGATGGGCAGTAACTACTCAGATCATCTGCACACAGCACATGCTAACAAATTACACTAAGGAAGAGACCAGGAGCATAAACCCTCTGACTTAACCAACTTTCACTCTCTCATGACCAATTGCATGAGTTCTCTGGTTATCCCTTGGATGTTGCCCACCTAGGGTACATTTATACAGCTGCGTTAGTTTGGAATAACTGACGTTATTTCAAAATAACAGAGTGCATCTGCACTACAAGCCTTTATTTCGACATGTCGAGCTGGGGGAATTCTTGCTCCGACTCCTGTAACCCTCATTTCAGGAAGAGTAAGGGAAGTCGGAGGAAGTGTTCTTCTTTTGACTTCCTGCTGTGTAGACAGCACCAAAAGCCAAATTAAGCTATTTCGACTTCAGCTACACAATTGACGTAGCTGAAGTTGCGTAGCTTAACTCTACTTTTGCCCCTCTGTACCCCTAAAGAAGCCTGAAATCCAAACAAAAATAAGTCAGGGGAACAAGGGAGTAAGGGTGGGGAGAAGAGAGAATCTTTTCAGGACTTCTTTACACAAAGAGCAAAAAGAGTGCACAAACTCATATACCACTGCGCTCCGAGGACGGGGACACACACACACACACACACACACACACACACCCTGTTACCACTGAAAGGCAGCTGTCTCTGGAGAAAACTAGTTCAGAGTATTTCCAAACAGAAAGACGGGTGTAATGTACCTCCTAGGGGAGGCTGTTCTACAGGATCAGGTGGAAGCAATCATTGCTTTATAGACCAACACATCTATCAAAAAATGGTTACAGCAGAGAAACCTCCAAAAATTCTTAATCCGGATTGAGCCACTTGTCGGGGAAAACCATCACTTGTTTGCACCTCCCTTAGTCCATCAGGCAGAAAACTCAGTGCAAAACAGACCCAATACCTGACCTGCAGTCTTCTGGATAAGTACATACAGCTCCGGACAATGTTTAAATTGTGGGTAATTTTTTTCACGGTGACTAATCTAAACACCCAATAGATGGCACTATCGCTATAGGGGATAAAATCAGAGCATTTCTCAGACATATTTCCAACTGGCAAACTAGATGATTGGATCCATCTGGGCGCAGGGAGTTCATATCTTTTATTGCACCAACTTCCTTGGGTGAGAAAAAAATATTCCCTCAACCACCTTGTGTCTCTCATATCCTGGGACCAACACAGCCATGATAACACTGCATAGAGCACTGGACAGTGCTGTCGCTGATTCCAATTTAAAGCCCTTTTGTGGTTATTCATACATGCCCCGGAGGTAGAAGTCTGGATAGCAGATGCTAAGATCTGTAACTCCCTCCCCACATTTTTTTTTTTAAGAGTGGTCCCTTGTTTCATTGATTTTATCACACAGATTAAGTTAAACAGCCTTTCTTTCCTACCTCCAAGCTCTGATTCACAGACACCAAGCATTAACTAAGGCTACATCTACACTGCCAGTTTTTGTGGCAGAAATATGCTAATGAGAGACTCATTTGCATGAGGTGAGCTCTCATTTGCATATTTTCTGCAGATCCGTTTTTGCGCTAGGGATTTTGGCGCAAAAACAAGCAGTGCGGACGTTTCCTTTTTGCGCAAAAACCCTTTTTGTGCCAGATCCTTATGCCTCAAAAAAGGAGGCATATTGATTTTGCGCAAAAAGGGTTTTTTGCACACAAAGGAAACACCCACACTGCTTGTTTTTGCGCCAAAATCCCTAGCGCAAAAACGGATCTGCAGAAAATATGCAAATGAGAGCTCACCTCATGCAAATGAGTCTCTCATTAGCATATTTCTGCCACAAAAACTGGCAGTGTAGACATAGCCTACGAGATTGAGAATGCCACTAGCTAGAGACAGCAAACAGTGATCTGTTGTTCACCACACAGTGCGCCTCAGCTTCAAGGCATCCTGCAACTATGAATTAAACTCTTCTGTAAAATCCAGTGTTGTGTTATTTGCATTCATCTCATGCATGGAGTTCTATAATTAAAGCTTATTCTGTTTTGTAATGATATAATTAAGCACTGAAGATTGAAGATTAGAAAATACAGGTGCTACGATCAAGTCAATGTTATAAATATTAAACAAAAGCCTGTGATCAAGTACAAATCTGGTGCTATTTATACATTAAATATGTATAAATAGAGCTGGGTAGTTTTTACAAAAATTGAGTCAACAAATGGGGTTTTTTAAATCCAGTTCAACACTGAAGAACTTTGCTTTCAAAACTGAACAGTTTTGACAAAGTCTGAATTTGTTTTCCTTTCTTTATCGTGTTTTTACCCTTTTCCTCTCTGCCCTTCCCCCTTCTTTTCCTTTAAAAAATTGGCACAGTTTTATTTTCTAGGCCCCTCATTTTGTTCTTTAAAAAAATCATAACAAATTGCAAAAACCAATTTAAAGGGGTTTTGTTTTGTTTTTGTTTTTTTGGTAAAACTGGGTTTTCCTTCTCTAGCTTTAGTACAATTTTTTCCTACCACAGAAGTTTGTTTTCTCCAAGTCGTATTGGAATTTTCTTCTCCATTGCTTATTGCTATTGCTAATGCTATTGCTCCTAAATAGATTGTTTAATCCAGAAGTGCTTTAGGTACAAGCCGATATACAAATTATACAAAGAGGATTATGTTGCTCCACCTCTCACTGCAAAGCAAGTGCTTCCAAGTGACAGCAGCAGTTGCACAGCAAAGAGCAGCACTACCCGACAGAAAGTTTGTAAAGATACTGTCTCCCCCTGAACCCACAGAGGAAATTTAGGAAGGCCCACTGGAAGGCACCAGTGATGAAGTTAGATGAAGACATTGGCGTGAACACTCTGTCTTGCGGAAAGAACAGTGGAATACTTACTGACCACGTGTGTCCAGGAATTCTGTTTTATGGCTCATGTATCATGATTTTTAAATCAAAACCACAGACATGTGGGTTCGCCGTGAATTCTGAATTGATGCATGCTTTCCTGCAAATTCAAAATCCAAAGAAAAGCTAACATCTTGGGATTATAAAAACAATAAGCAGTCCTGTGGCACCTTAAAGACTAACATATGTATCATGAGCTTTCGTGGGCAAAACCCACTTCATCAGATGAGTTGGGAGTAGAAATTACAGAATCCAGAGTATATATAACAGCAGAAGCAGTTACCTGTCCATTGTAGGCCATTGTTAATGACGCTAATTGAATCAGGCTGGATGTGTCTTATTCATAGCTTTCAATGTGCAATTGTGAATATCAAAGGTGGGGGAAATTGCCTTTATAGTGCATTAACCAGTCCATATCTTTATTCAAGCCCAAATTGAGAGTGTCAAACTTGTAAATGAATTCCAGTTCAGCCTAACTCAATGAGCTTTATTAACACTGGTCCTACAATGGACAGGTAACTGCTTTTGCTGTTATAGATACTCTGGATTCTGTAATTTCCACTCCAACTCATCTGATGAAGTGGGTTTTACCCAAAAAAGTTGATGATATATTTGTTAGTCTCTAAGGGTACATCTACGCCACAGGGCAAAAGTCCAATTAAGCTACACAACTTCAGCGCCATCAATTGCATTGCTGAAGTCGAAATAGTTTAACTCGGCTTTTGGCACTATGTACACAGCAAGAAGTCGAAGGAAGAACACTCTTATTTTGGCTTCCCTTACTCCTCATGAAATGAGGGTTACCATGAGTCAAAGTAAGAAGTCCTCCTTGTACTATAGACATGAACTATATTATTTCGGAATAGAGTCATTCTAATATAATGCTGATGTGTAGACGTACCCTAAGGTGCCACGGGGCTGTTCATTGCTTTTATACTTTTAAACTAACATGGCTACCCCTCTGAGATCTTGTAGTTATGGACTTAAACTGCAGCAACAAATCCAGAGGGGAGTGCTTGGGTGGGGGGGGGGGGGGCTATGCATAGCAGTAGTTCCTGGTGCTTTGGTTTCCTATGGTCTGATATCTAGGAACCAAATTCACAGATGCTCAGATTCTAGCCATAGATAAATCTGATACTTTGCTTTCATCAAAAGTTATGTTCTCTTTTCCCCTGACTGGCTGCAAGACACTCATTGCTTATATCCAAGACAAGCCAAATCATGGTTATCCATGGACTGTTTTTTTCCTGGAGTCATATACATTCCTGGTGCTATTTGATGCACAAAGGTTTATTTGACACATCCAGTCACAAGACTGTAGGTCTTCAGCCTCATATAAAGCCAACTAGCTGCCATATCTTTGCCCAAAGGCAGGAAACCTTTCCACCTAAACCGGCCTCCTCACTTATTTTCTTAAGTCCCATAAATAGCAATGGGAATGAAAAAGCCTCTGTCTTAATCCATAGCTGCTCCTTGTCTCTCTCAAAAGTCACATCTGCTGTCCTGACTGACAGGCATTTGCTCTCTTCTCCCGCAGAACTGTTGTAGCCACAGGAGAACGATCCCGTTTTTTAATTCTGCCTTGTGCGTCGTTCAACAGAATGGGCAGCTAAGTTCCGACTGCAGAATCCTTATTCCCTGTGATGTCAGACAGCAGGAACCCGTCCGGATTGCTAGATTCAAGAGTGAGTTTGTGACCCCCGCAGCCTGTAAATGTATCTTTTCATTTGTAAGCTGAGCAAGTTTAATCTGGGAGTGATTGAGGCACAATGAATAGCTGACCTCATGGGGTCCTTGCACAGGTGGGAGCATAGGCACCAGAACTCAGGGTGCACCCCCCCACCACTGAAATGCAGCCACCTCTGGGGTGAATGGCAGCAGCTGGCACACGGCGCTACACATTTCAGCTTGGGACACTGTGTCCAGAAAGGACTATGGGATTAGTTGGTCCTGGTTTTTAGCCAAGTCTTTGCATGGCTTCCAGAATTTTGGGAGCGCTTGACTCAATTGCAGGGAGCTCTTTATCCCACACAAAGGTGAGTTCCCTCAGAGAATTTACTGCGAAGGATGCCTTTTGTGTTGGCTAAAGGAGATGCAGCTTTTAACACAGGAACTCTTAAAAAGCACATCATCTACTTGATGTTCAGGGGGCAGCCGTGTTAGTCTGTAACTGGAAAAACTTAAAAAACAACAAATAGTCTAGCAGCACCTTAGAGACTAACAAAAATGAAGATGGTATCATGAGATTTTGTGGGCACCACCCACTTCTTCAGATGAATGGAGTTTAAGGGGTCCAATTTTCAAATAAATAGCACAGGGAGAGGATGGAGGAGAGGGGGAGAAAGAAAAAGAAGGGGAAAAAAGGGGGAAAGAAATAGTCAATTAGAGTGTCCATGCTAAATGAAGCTGATAAGAATACCCTTTGTTTTTTATGTCATTAGGATGTGGAAAGTAGCAGGCCATTGAGCCAATATCTTTATTTAGACTTCTGTTGTAGGTATCAAACTTGTAAATGGAATTAAGTTCTGTAGCTTTCCTGTCGAGCTGGCTTTTGAAATTGCTTTGAAATAGTACGATGGCTTTGAGATCCATTAATGAGTGCAAGGACAGGTTAAAATGTTCCCCAACAGGTTTCTGTGTGTTGCCTTTCGGATATCTGATTTGTGTCCATTAATTCTCTCTCGTAGAGATTGTCCAGTTTTCCAATACTACTACTGAATTACAGGAGTGCTCTGTACAAGAGAGATGTCTGTATGGATGTCAATAATTACTAGATAATGGGCTAGTAGGTAGCACGCAAGATTATGTAGCACCAATTCTGCATGTTATTGGACTAATTCAACTCCTTTTTGTTGCACACCATCCTCTGCAGCTTGTTACAGGCTGTTTTTAATGACAGCTGGGCTCCAACCAAGGATCAGTGAATTAAAAGCAGAACTAATCAAGTAGAACATGTGCCTCAAGCAATGACTTTAGATCCTCAAAATCTTGTGATTCTGTGATCACCACAGCAATTGTGAAACCTGCCCTTGGAAATTAAGGCGCTTACACAACGTTCCTGCGCGTGGCAAAATTTCTTCAACTGCCGATGGGCGGTATGCATGCCTCTCGGTTCCACACGGCCGTCCTGTGGGGGTGTGATTTGGTATAAAGAGAGAAGCTGAGCCCAGACCAATGCTGAGCACCCATCTGCAGACAGAGGGACAACCCAGGTATAACAAACCCAGGCCGGACCATCTGCAGCCACCATGGGGCAGGCATTCATGTGGGTTGGTAAGTTTGCAGCTGGTGATGAATTTATGTGGGATGCTGGAAGGTTGAGTTTTTATGGGGTTTGAATGCAAGACTGTATAACAAGGTGGGGAACCTTTTTTGGGTCAGAGGCCACTGACCCAGAGAAAAAATCTGTCAGGGGTCGCACCCACAAATGAGAAGCGAAAAACAAACCCCTCCTCTCTGGCATGGGCCCCTACTGAGAAGCAGAAAGATGCTCCCCACATTCCTGTCATGCAACAGAGCTTGGGGGGAGGAGGCTAGTAGATTGTGTGTGCTCCAGCCTACACAAAATCTATGGGGGGGCTGGGGTGCCAGTTCAGGCTCCCCAGTGCTGGGGTGAAAGGCCCAAGTCTCTGGGACCAGATTCAGGCAAGCCAGGGGCTGCATCTGGCCCGAGGGCCTTACTTTCCCCACCCCTACTGTATAATATATTCTGCACCCATGATGTGGATAATGGGAGACATTAGTTTAGGCCAATACCATCAGGCAAAACACCCACTACTAAAAAGTGGGTTAGAGAATAGTTGCAACGGTCCAAACTGAAACCTGACAAGGGTCACTTTTTTGGGATAACCAATGCTGGGAGGCTTAGTTTAAGTAGCATAGGGGGAAAGAGCAACAATGTCACATCTTGCAGCTGGGAAAACTTTCAGGGACTTTCTGGAAGCTGTAGAGGTAGTCTGTTAGAGCTAGCATTACAACTTCCTCTCAACCCACCTCTCCCTCCCTGCAAAAGAGTTCATTTTCTTTTCAAGGTAGTTCTCTTTCCACTCTCCTGGGTACTGCAAAAGAGTTCATTTCCTTTTCAAGGTAGTTCTCTTTCCACTCTCCTGGGTATGTTAGAGGCAAGGGAAGCCTGTCCATATAGGCGAACTAGGAGGTCACCTAGGGTGCCAAGTTAAATGGGGCGCCAAATGATGGCGCAATATCATTGAGGGGTTTGGAGGTGGGGTCGCCGATTGCATGGTTCGCCTAGGGCTCCAGTTGCTGGCAGCTAGTCTAGGGCTGCCCCTGGTTAGAGGAGATCTATGCTTGGGCAGAAGCTAAGCTCCGCTCAGCTATAACAGGCCATGGTCTCATCTCAGGACTGGCGACCGAGAGCAAGTTTGGGTTTGGAACAGACTCTGCAGCATGGTTTTGACTCTCTGCTTTTGGCTTGACTTGTATTGCAGTAGTACAGGAGCCAAAGTCCCATTATAGCAAGAAAGGCGAGGGCACAAGGTGGGGGACAAGGAAGCAGAACAAATGTGAAGTGGCCGGGAGTCGTGGTGGTGGGGAGCCAAGGAGATCACCGGGTCCTTGGACAATATGTGGGCGGGGACCAGCTCCATGCTCCTAGAAGGGGCAGGGCTGCTATTGGAAGGGGCTCTGGCAACTGCTACAGTAGCAGCGGTGTTGGCAATCTGGAGCCCTGGGCCCTTTAGAATCACCATGCCCTAGGGCAATTATCCCCTTTGCCCCACCTCCGGTGGCAGGCCTGCTCAGTGGCTTCAGCAGTAATGGGTCCGAGAGAATACGTGGGGACCTTCGTTATGCAACGGACTTGAAACTTCTTCCTAGTAGGCGAATTTCTGCCTATTTCCACCTTGTCACAGTTCCTGCTAATGAACATGAGACTGGAAGGCTGCAGGCCTGGGGGCGGGATTTTTAAATAACCGTCTTCTCTTCTCTTTGTATTTTGCTCTAGGTTTAGCTGCCTTGCTGTTGCTTCAGTGCAGTAAGTCCCCTTTACCGTGCGCCTCCATTTCCTGAAAGAGCTGTGGGTAGTACAAAATAAATTATTTTTCCATGGCTCTGCAAGCAGCCTTGCACCTGCGCGCCACCAAGCCACACTAAAGCAGGCTGCAGATGGGCTTGCAGGGTGTTAATACAAGTGACTGTCTCGTGCGTATTCGTAGCATCTAAACCCCACTGAAGTGAATGAAACTTCATTAATGAAGGAAACTTCAGTTGACTTTGGATCGGGCTCACTGAGCCCGCTTCAAGAATTAAACCTCTAAACAAGGGCTTAGTGAATCCCAGCTAAACACCAGACCATATTCTGTTCCAGCTGCCCTCCCGTACTGTCCCGTATGATCACATGTGGCCCCTATGCCGTGGGACACATTCACTGTTAGAAGAGAGACAATGGAGATGGTTCCTACTTAGCCAACTCTTGTCCTGTCTCCATTCAAAGATCAGGGTGCAACAGACCCTCTTGTGGGACTGCAACACTTACTACGGTTTAGATGTTCATAGCACTGATGTGCTATAATGCTCGGGGGGGAGAAGGGGAGGTGCAGGGGGGGTGCAGCCTGGAGCCACAGCAGGGGGCCAAAATATAAAGCAAACCAGCAGAGAGACCTCGCAGGACCATTTCTGCACCAAGGTGTGCAACCCATCTTCAGAAGCTTCCATCCCTTCGGTACCAAAGCAAGACCAGCCCCATTCTCCAGAGACAGGAAGGGAACAGTAAGAAATGTGAAGTTACTTTCATAGAATCGTAGGGAATCATAGAATCCTAGGGTGGGAAGAGTAGACCCTCTTGTGGGAAGAGACCTCAGGGGGTCATCAAGTCCAGCCCCCTACCCAAAACAGGACCAACCCCAACTCAATCACACCTTGATTCCTTGACTCGGTCCTCATCGCAGCTTGACACCTCTCTCCCATTGCCACCCAGGCTCTGCTTGCAAACTGGTCTGTTACTTTACCAACTGGTCCCAATATAGACCAGCCCAAGGGCGCTTCCTCCCAGAGAACATTGACCCCAGCCTGTGCACTCATCTCATTTATGCCTTCGCCGGCATGAACAACAACCAGATCACCACCGTGGAGTGGAACGATGAGCAGCATTACAAGACTTTCAATGGACTCAAAAGCAAGTGAGTCAAAGAGGAAACGACCCCCAGCACTGTAGTTTCCCGGCTGCAGAATGGGGCCTCTGGGTTTATTCGGAAGGGGGAAGCAGACCTGGGATTTAAGCTAATGTTCCTAGGAAAACTAAGGGAGAAAACTCCTTTGGAATCATTGTGTATCATGTGCTTAGCTGTGTACAAGACCAAGTCAGCCCCCGGCCCAAGGACTTCAGAGTTTAACCAATCATCTCCACAAGAAGAGTGGATGTGACAGCTTGAACACTCACGTTGACATCACCATAAGTGTTAAAAAGCCCAACTTCTTGCATCGGAAGGGTACGTCTAAGACTGCGTTGCTATTTTGGGATACAGGAAGTATCCCACAATAGCAACGCCGCGTCTTTAAAAGCGAAATAGCGGGCGCGCTATTCTGGTGTCCCTGAAACCCTCATTCCACAAGGGTTAAGGGATTTGTCGGACTAGTGCCTTATTTTGAAATTTGGCGCTGTCTACACAGCTTTCCACTTACTCAGAATAAGCTACGCAATTTGCGTAGCTTATTCCAACAGAAGGGTTCATGGATTCTTTTCTGAAAGATCCACCCAGATAGAGAACGGACATGAATAGGTTTTCAACAGAGTCAGCGGTCCCTCTAATCTTTTTCTTCCATTCATGGATTTTTGACATCTACATGCGGAATAATTCTTTTTATGTGCACCGAGGCATGTGCAAGTGCGCACCACCAGTAGAAACAGAAACCTGGCTGTGGGCACTCTGCTAATTACCATTGGAATCTCTCCTGATCAGATGCACAAGTGCCCAGCCTTCAGGGAACACTGGTTATAGTGAAATAGACTATCAACAAATATTGGGGCAGCAGTTAAGCTAAAGGGGAGTAGGGGAAGCTGCCATTCAGTGTCTTAGCATAATCTTGGGACAGTTCCTTAAACTTCAAGGATGTGCCAACTTCTCCTGCCTCACTTTTACCAATAGGAAGGTTTGAGGGTGTTTTCATTCCAGAAGTATGAAAACGTCCCTACCCCCAGACTAAAGGTCCAGGCAATGGCTGTGTTTATTAAGACCGATGAGCACTTGCAGGTGAAAGGGTACAAAGAACATGAGCTTTTTTGTCTGCTTTTAATGCCACCTTTTCTCCCCACCCTTCCAGGAATCCTGGGCTGAAGACTCTCTTGGCCATCGGCGGCTGGAATTTTGGCTCTGAAAAGTAAGGCTCAAGGTTACTTTTTTTCTGCATGCAAAGCATGAGGCGAGGGGAGTGTATTAGGCTAAACCTCAAAATCCTGGGACATCCAGGAGAGGTAGAACCATAGGAAGGAAATTGTGCTTTCTATCTTTCCACATTAAGTACGTATATGCCCACCGTTGCCATAGTATCAGAATGTATTTCGCCTCGATGCCCGTTTGAGGCAAGGCAGGGTTGTTTTCCCTGTTGTACAGATGGGGAACAGACACATGCTACGTGACTTTCCCAACTCACTCCCAGACAGAGAGAGCAGGAACTGAATTTGGGTTTCCTCCATGCTAGCCAAGGCCCCACCCACAGGTATTATCTCTCAGAGCTCTGTCTCCAAAGACCATCCCTGTCAGCTGCACACCGCCTCTTGCTGCCCACATAAGAACTTAGTACAACTGGGTGAGTGACTCCAACTTTACACTGGTTTAAGAGCAAATCTTGCCTCTGGGTTTTTCCTTCCTTTTCGGACTAAAATTTGTTGCTGCTGAAATTGCCTCAGAATTTTCATTATGGGCTTTTTGTCATGAAGCGCTGGTTTGGCTCTGGCACAGTGTTTGGCCCTGGGATCTGTGTGGTAACATTTTGGCAAGTTTCTAAATTGCTCCCACTCTTTGACAGCAATTGAGTTACTAGCAGCTTGAAAGCTTCTGGTAGGGACAATAATTCATCTCACTGGTGTTTAACAACTTACATTATATATACATACATACATCTATCTATATACACACATTTGTAAAGCTTTAAACCTCAAGCTCTTTCTGAAAGCTTCCTCCAAAGAGAACCGTATTCAGAACACGGTTTTGCAGCCAAAAAGTTTCCTTCCTGTAATTTAAAGTGTACTGGGGCTTTTCCACATTTCTAATCAGCGATTCTGTGTCCTTAAGAGACTCTGGCAGTAAATACAGTGGGCATTGTCCATGGCGGACAAGAAGTGATGGAGATGCTGGCAAATAAGATGCAAATAATTGAGCATGTGCTCTCTAATTGGGTGGCCTTCTGCTTAAGGCAATGGTATGGCAATGGGGATACATGGACTATGCTCAGCTACTGACTCAGAGACTTTGGGATCTACATTTATAAGCTAGGAATAATACTTCCCTACGTCACACCAATGGGGGTGAAATGTAATAAACAGGTATGAAGTGTGATATTACAATGATAAGTCCTGTGGAGAAGTCTATAAATAACCAATACATTTAGCTGATGGTTGCCCTTAAATAGCAAATATCCCTATGATGCTATCTGCTGTAGCCGCAGAAGAAAATCTAACCCAAGGAAGCATAATTTGGCATTGACAGGCCATTCAGGAGATGCAGAACATGGCACCATTTTTTAAAAATCAATGCTATATACGATCCCCACAGACATCAGTGGCCTAACCTCTGTTTCCTCCCCTCTGTGCTGCTGAGTTTACCTTCTGAATGCATCCCCTCTAAATAGCCCTCACATCTGCAGCGGGTGGTTAGCAGCATAGGTGTGGTAGTTCATAGAATCATTAAATTCCAGGGCAGGAAGAGACCTCAGGAGTCATCGGTCCAGCCCCGCTGCCCAAAGAAGAAGCAACCCCAACTCAATCATCCCAGCCAGGGCTTTGTCAGGTTGGGACTTAAAAACCTCCAGGGATGGAGATTCCACCACCTCCCTCAGGAACCCATTCCAGTAGTTAACGCATCACTTCCATGCTAGGTTCTCCAACATGGTGTCCACGCCTGGTAATCGGCGGACATTCATCCTCTCTGTGGTTGATTTCCTGCGCAAGTATGAATTTGATGGCCTGGACCTAGACTGGGAATATCCAGGTGCCCGGGGAAGCCCACCTGAGGATAAACAGCGTTTCACTGCTCTGATCCAGGTACCGTAAGACCTAGGAGTTCAGCCCCCGCCCACCACTGCTGAAACAGAGCAATAAGGATGCAGGACATGTGCTTTGTCTTCACATTTCACCTGCAAACACTGCACAGTCTGCAGAGTTGAAGTCAAAGACGGGGGTACTCTCTAAGGTGGAATATCATGCCATAAGGCCCTGATCATCTGTGGGTGGAATCAAACCTAGAACCCCTAGAGCTTAGAACATGAGCCTGTAAGTGGTCTCAGTGCCACTAAGTGGGACAGTGAACCCCACCCAGATGTGGTTTTTTGGATTCAAGGTCTCTAATTCAGAGATCTCCAAAGAGTGGGGGAAGAGAGTGTCCAGGAGGTATGTAGTTAAGGTCAGAGATTGGACTTCTAAACCTGCCTGGCTCCAGGATTCCCCACCAGCTAAGCAGACACACAAGTGTTTGAAGAGAGTGATCAGCCACTTCCTGGAATCTGCCATCTCGTTCTGTGCCATCTCAGAATGAAACCGTTCATGGCATCAGCCCAGAATACATTCATAAATCGATCAAATATTCAATCTCAGGGGTGTGACTCTCAGCTCCGACCTTACTCTGGGTTTGTCAGACATGTGTGCAGACAATGTCTCTTTCATTCAGATTTGCCTTTTTTAAAATTAAAAAAACAAGGAAGACAATGAAAAAGGGGATCATTTTTGTTTTGATTATCCCCCGCAGGAAATGGTGGAAGAGTTCCAGGAGGAAGCACAGAGGACAGGGAAAGGGAGGCTGCTGTTGACTGCTGCTGTGGCCGCTGGGAAGGCAAACATCGATGGAGCCTATGAAATCAAGAACATCTCCAAGTGAGTTTATCCAGCCCTGCAGTTTTACAGAGGACAGTCAAGCCACATGGCCAAATACTGTTACCCAGGATGCTTTGCAACGCTTCTCTTGCAGAGGGGACTCAATATCAACTTGTTCTTTATTCTCCCTTTGTAGGACCCTCGACTTCATTAACCTCATGACATACGACTTCCACGGTTCCTGGGAAAAGGTCACAGGACATGTCAGTCCTCTCTACAAAGGGAAAACCGACACTGGATCTGCTGTGTACAGTAACGCTGTAAGTGTCAAAGAACCTTGTAGCTGATCGCTTCTTCCTGGCAAATAAATAGCGTTCCCCTGCAGAAAACAGTTGAAAAGTCACATGTCCAAAAAACCTGACTGTATCATCCTTGTGCAAGAATGTGTCACAAGCCCCAGACAAGTGTGTCACAAGCCCCAGACAAATAGCATACAGTGGCTGTATCCCATTTGATTGCAAAGAGGGGGGGAGGGAGAAATTAACGTTTAATCCCATAGTTACAATCTTGAAAAAATTTCAAAAAATGGTCCTTTACACATTCCCAGATTTCTCTAGGTCACCATTGACCGGGTTCTTCCCCAAAACCAGGCCATCCTGAAATTGCCCTGGGCAAACTCAATCATATCATTGAAGATGGAGGTGCACCTTTGAGAAAGCAAAGAGAAAAAGTATACTAGCGTGTACCCACTAAAAACAGATGGGGAGGAGAGAATTCATATTTCCTGGGTGAAAAAAGGACAAGATTCTTTTGGTGGGGATCCCCATTCTGATTCCTGGACAGATCCCCCCCAAGTAGCAGAAAGAAAATGAAGTCCTGCTCTTGTTCTGTATGGAAGGCAAGCCAGGTAGAAGTGAGGAGGGAACAGTTAATATTTGAGGGCGGGTTTCTGAAATGACCAAGCTTTGCACATGTAAACCAGGATTTTGCACATGCAAATGATTCACAGCAGCAAAGCCAGCTGTCTGGCAAAGTGTCATTAAGTGTGTCCCCTAAACGCTGCAGAACAGCTTCCTTGCCTGGAGACACCTCAAGTGTGGTAGCAGCCAAATGCTGTAGGCATGAGCACCAAGTTTGGATCATTTTTGGTGGTGCCCAGAATAGGGATGTAATAGAGTAGTCAATTAACTGATAAGCAAAAACTCATAGGTTAATGCTATATACCTCCCCCCCCTCCACACACCAATACATTTTTAGCAGGCTGGCCAGCAGCCTGGCTAAGTCCTGGCTTGTGCTAGGTCCACAACCTACCTCTGCATTTCAAATGTATTAGGAGCTAGGCAGGGAGGCAACCCAACTCAGTTCTGGCTCGCACGGAGTCCGGGAGCTCAGGCCCCCTCTAGACAGGGGCTGCTGCCACTTGCATGCTGCTGCTTCTGTATCAGAGGCAGCAGAGGGGTCAACAGGCGACAGGCAGCTGGTCCATAAGGGGAACTGTTTTTTTAAACTGGCTTCCTTCGGGGACCAGCTCCTGACTGGCACCCCGCGCTGCTGCCTCTGATTCAGAGGCAGCAGCATGGAATGGCAGGGGGCTCATCAGGAGTGGGGCCAGAGTACACTCCCAGGGACTACAGAAGAGTCAAGTAACCAATAAGAATTCATGAGTTTAATTGACTATTCAATTAACCGATATTTAACATCCCTCACCCAGAACGGGTCCAAGCAGAGCCTTACGGCAGACTGGGACAACCCCAAGGCCTGTCCTTGGGGATATGCAGGGTGCAGGGCAGCTTGGTGGGTTACTGGGGGACCTGGTGTAGGCAGTAGTGAGCAACCCAGCCCCAGCCCACCCCACTCCATCCTTCCAGCTTCCGGTGTAGCTTGGGGAGGGGCCAGCAGCTGAAAAGAGGAGAAGGGTTTGGCGGAAGGGATGGAGTGAAGATGGGGCAGATCAGGCTTGGGCCAGGTTGTTTGCTGCTGCCAGCACCAGACCCCTTTGTTAATCCTTCAGGCCACCTTTGACCCCATGTACCCCCAAAGTAGGAGGCCTGGAGCAGCAGCCTGGTCCATCCTATTGTAAGATGGGGCTAAAAATATAGCCCCACACATTGGTGTAGCCAGGGCCATATTCCTGAACAGTGGTGGAGCATGGGCACCAGGGGCCAATATGACCCACTGCCCCTGGGTGCAGGGTGGGTGGGAAAGCTTTCAATCCTGAGTATAAGAGCACTCAGAGTCAGAAAGCCATTCCACCTTCCCATAAAATTCACCTAACGGCAAAATGAAACCAAGCTTCTTATCCCCTTACACAGGACTACGCTGTGGGATACTGGATACAGAAGGGTGCCCCAGCAGAGAAAATCATCATGGGGATCCCCACCTACGGACGGACTTTCACCCTCTCTTCCTCCGACACGGGCGTTGGTGCCCCTGTCTTCGGACCTGCATCGCTCGGCCCTTTCACTCGGGAGGCCGGATTTTGGGCCTATTATGAGGTAGGGAAGAGGTTAGGGTTGCCAGGTGTCCGGTATTGAACCGGACAGCCCAGTATTTGCAGCATGTGTCCAGTAAAAAAAAAAAAAAGAACCAGAAAATACCAGACACGAAAAATATGTCCAGAATTTTCTGTTTCTCGGACAGAAGGCCAGTTGGGACATTCTTCCCCCGCCACATCTGGCAGGGGGAGTGTTGGAGTGTGTGGGAATTTAAAGGAGCCGTGTCTCTTTTTTGTGTGTGTGGGTTTTTTTTGTTTTGGTTTGGTTTGGTTTTTTTGTTTTGACAACTTTGGTCCCTGTTTTTTTATTAATTATTATTGCTCAACAACTTTTGGTTCTTTTTTTAATTTTTGCTCAACCAATTTTTTCCCCGTGGTTTCACAAAAAATACTGAACACTATCTGGCAACCCTAGAAGAGGTCGCTTTTTTGGTAAGCGGCTCATGAAATGCTCCTGGATTCACTGTGTTTTAAAATGTGCTTGAAACTGCCCCTCCTTGGGCATTTTATTGGCAAACCTGTTGCCTCCAGTCCAGAATGTAACGTTTCCCCAGGAGAATTGGCCTTCTCCTTCACTGTATTAATTCACAGAGGCAGTTGCTCTGTTGGGTCTCTTCCCAGCTCTACCTTTCTGTTTATTTTTTTCCAGATTTGTACTTTCCAGAAAGGCGCCACCACCGAGCGGATTGAGGAACAGAAAGTCCCTTATTCCTTCAAAGACAGCCAATGGGTGGGGTACGACGACATGCAGAGCATTGAAACCAAAGTAAGCCGTGTCTAGGCATTCTTTTTGCTGCCTATTGTCGGGGAAGGGATGCATCAGAATCTTCCGGTAGCCCAGAGAGATGGGCTCCACTTTGACACGCTGTGCATATCAGCGGAAAATGCTTTGCACTTTCCTAGCCCCATGCATCTGAGGATCTCAGTGCACTTCAGAGTTAAGCCTCCTAAAAGGGTTAGTGTTATCCCATTTTACAGATGGAGAAGTCAATGCACAGAAAAAGAAAGTGCCTCACTTGAAGCCACAGCATAAGCAGGCTAGCAGACACCTTATGGCGTTCTGGGAGCAGAAGTGTGGTCTGACGGCTAGCACCCAAGCGAAGTATGATGCATCTCCTGAGCAATGGCTGAGCAGATGGAGTGAGAATGGAGAGTCTCCTCTGCTCATAGGTTATTAGCGGGGCGGGGGGAGAGGCGTAGTAATCCAGAGGAAAGAGAGCAGTCTGTGTGCCACAGCTGGGTCCGTGACATTGCCAGGTGGGTTCAAAAAACCTTACAGGTGACAAACATAGACACTTAAAGGGGCATGCAGCCTTTTCTTTTTTTTTTTAACCTCAATAACTTTCCCCGACATTTTTTTTTTTTTGCTCAACAAAAAATCCCTTGGTGTTCCTCATTAAAAAAAAATATTGTTTGGTGTTCCTTGGTCTTAAAAAGTTTAAGAAACACTGAACTAGAGAAATGGGTCTGAGGTAAATAGGATGACATTTAATAAGGACAAATGCAAAGTGCTCCACTTAGGAAAGAACAATTAGCTCCTGTGGAAAGGGATCTAGAGCTCATAGTAGACCACAAGCTAAGTATGAGTCAACAGTGTGACATTTGCAAATAAAGCAAGCATGATTCTAGGATGCATTAACAGGAGTGTTGTAAGCAAGACACAAGAAGCAATTCTTCTGCTTTACTCTATGTTGATTAGCCTTTAACTGGAGTATTGTGACCAGTTCTGGGCACCACATTTCAGGGAAGATGTGGAGAAATTGGAGACGGTCCAGAGAAGAGCAACAAAAAATTATTAAAGGTCCAAAACACTTGACCTATGAGGGAAGCTTGAAAGAACTGGGCTTGTTTAGTTGGGAGAAAAGAAGACGACTTGAGAGGGACATGATAACATTTTTCAAGTATCTAAAAGGGAGGAGGGAGAAAAATTGTTCTCCTTGACCTCTGATGATAGGACAAGAAGCGATGGCCTTAAATTGCAGCAAGGGAAGTTTAGGTTGGGCATTAAGGAAAAACTTCCTGTCGGGGTAGTTAAACACTGCAATAAATTGCCTCGAGAGGTTGTAGAATCTCCATCTTTGGAGATTTTTAAGAACAGGGCATATATCTGTCAGGAGTGGTTCACATAGTCCCCGGGAGTGCAGGGGACGGATTTGATGACCTCTCAAGATCCCTTCCAGTCCTACAAGTCTATAAGCCCTCCCCACCTTTTCCGGGGGTGGAAGTATAGGAGAGAGGACTCTGAGAATGATCTGTGGCAGGGAAGTTTCATGCCTTGTAAGCCGCCCCATCCAGGCAACAGAAATAGAACGTCTTATGAGGTTTCAGAGCAAGGGGTAAGCAACATGGGGTTGCAAACATCCCATGCAGGAGTACTCCTAACCCGAAAGAGATTACTGCCTACTTGGAGATGTGTTAGTTCAAGGGTGGGCACGCTTTTAGCATGTACCTGCCCTTCTCCCATTCACATCTCCACCTCATGGCAAGTTGTTTTGGACTTGCAAGCGAGTCCGTAGAGCAGAAACAAATGCTGGAGTTCTAACAGAGAGGAGGTGTTCTAACTTCCATCTCCCAGCAGCACCCAGTGACAGGGTTTGTGATTTTTCCTCTCCCAGGTTGACTATCTGAAGAAGAAAAGTCTTGGTGGGGCCATGGTCTGGGCTTTGGATTTGGATGATTTCAGTGACTCATTCTGCGGCCAAGGGAAGTTTCCTCTTCTGCAAGCTCTGAAGAAATACCTGAGATGCGGTAAAGCAAGAGTTAACGGCCTACTCCATATGGATAATGCATGATCTTCTTGACGCATGTATTTTATAACACACAAGAGATTTTTCTTTTTTTGCAAGGGGGGAATTGCAATCTTGCACCACAGCCTCAGTTTCCTCTCAATACCCTGGGGTGTGTAGCGAGAGCCCTAATTATGAAAACATTTATGTAATACACCATTTTTATTTTCAATGCTGGTGCCTCCTGGTGGCATTTGTTTCAGAATGCAAAGTCTGGAGCTGCATCATTGTTACAGTGCCCAGTTTTCTTTTTTTGCAAGGGGGGAATTGCAATCTTGCACCACAGCCTCAGTTTCCTCTCAATACCCTGGGGTGTGTAGCGAGAGCCCTAATTATGAAAACATTTATGTAATACACCATTTTTATTTTCAATGCTGGTGCCTCCTGGTGGCATTTGTTTCAGAATGCAAAGTCTGGAGCTGCATCATTGTTACAGTGCCCAGCCTGCATTAGGCCACATTGTTATTCTTCCTAAAACGGCTCAGAGAGGCCCAAGACATCATGAATACGAGGGAGGGGGGAAAGGAGACCATGTAACAGGTGAAATATACAGAATTGAGAAGAGTTGCAATGTTTATGAGCTGAGCCACCAAATCCGCCAAAAGCAGACTGGGAAATTAAAAAGAGCCCGCGTCAAAGCCTCCACCTCCAGCATCATAGCTTTGTATCTGATTAGCCCAAATCTGATTAACTGTAAAGTGATGCCTCTTGTAATCGCATTATTTATCCGTTTCTCCCATTGGCCTGTTTCCATATTGATCCCCAAGTGCCCTGTTCTCTCTGCTGTGCTGGATCGCCACCTTCATGCATTTATAGCCCTCCTGAAAACCCAATTCTCCTACAGCGCTCCCCCATCAACAAAACTTTCATCACCAAACCCTATGGCAGGGCTACTCAACTTTAGAAGCTCCGGGGGCCACAATGATACTCACAGGACATGCCAAGGGCTGCAACTTAAGTGTGGTTGCATATACATGCAAATATATATATGCAAATAGCTTCTTCACACTGATGGACATGAATACAAAGATTAAGGCAAGACTACACAACACGCAGGCCCCATTTAAGTCAGTTCTGATGATGATTAATAAAATGCAACATATACCTGATTTCCACCCATAGGACAGCTCTTTTAATGAGCAATGACAGTCCAGGAATTTAAGTATGAAAACTCATCTCAACAGAAGACTATTATATTGACTACTTTTTTGTTTTGGCTCCCAAACAGGCCGGAACATTTGTTCTTACTTATCTCATTCCCCTCCCTTGTTTCCCTCACCCTTGACATGAGCAAACTCCTTGGAACAAGGCTTTAGGAGACTTTGGAGTGCTATCAATAATCTTTCCAATCATCATGTATTTAAGCTTCTTTAGTTTTACAGGTGTACCCCAAAGCATCTAAAAAAGTCACTTTAGTGTGCAGCGTAATACAGTCCACATTTTTCACACCAAACAGTAACTCACCAGATCGCTTTCTACCGCATGAGATTCAGAGTTACAATCCTTATAGACTTTATGCCGAGTCCCCTACAATTGCTACATTGCAAAAGGTTGGTTTATTCGGCCCTGCAGAGTTATTGATCTAGCTATCAGCACCTTTACATCATTGCTCGTTCATATTTCACAATAAAAAGGCCCATGTGGCTTGTGAAGATAGCGACCATTTATTTAAACCACAACTAAACTGACTGAAACCTCCAAGGGATTGACCACAAAAGGTCTCACTCCCTTCCATTTTCTTTCCTACTTGTAGAGGTCGATAACGATGGTCCTGCTAATGCTACCACCGCGCTGGTTCAAACGACGTCTGTTACAGAAACCACCACCAGCCTTACTACGTCACCGCCGCCTGTTACAACCTCAACCCTCAGTGTTACGACACTGCCACCTATCCCTGCCACAACCAGCAACTCCACTACCAGCAGGTTTTGCCGCCATAAGGCCAATGGGATCTATGCCGTCCCTGGGGACCATGTCATGTTCTACATATGTGCCAACAGGCGCACCTTCCGAATGTCCTGCCCAGAAGGGTTGATTTTCGACTATTTATGCAAATGTTGCAACTGGCCTTAAAAACAGAGAGCCTCAAAGCACCTTCATGGAGAATTGATTTGTAGCTGCTCAGATAGCTGAGTTTCCTCCGCAACCAAATCAGAGCTTAGGAATGGTCTATATTGCAAGCATACCCAGCAACTTCTCTATCTTTGCTGGGTTATTTTCAGGGGTAACAACTATCACAGCACTGCAGGTTGGAGGATAGGGAGGAGAGTAAGTAGAAGCAAAATATTGTCACCGACAAAAGCAAGGCTGATGGATTTTCAAACTGTTGTGCGTTTGTTCATTGAATGTGGGTCCTTTTGTTGTATGCTGGCTTCTTCCCCGGCCCTTATTTCATGTTTGTTTGCTCCAAGAAAATAAAGCTTTCATTTCTAAATTAAATAGTTGGCCCTTTTGTTCTACTGGGCCTTAGGGGCTCATGTTGCTACTGAAAAATGGGACAAGGACAATGAGGAGATTTACGGCCTCCTTACAGGAGTATAATTTCCCAGGGTTTGATGTGTGATTCACTAGACAGCAGTGTTCCCTGTAAGCTAGGCACATGTGTGGCCACTCAAGAGAGATTCAAGTGCCACCCAGCTGATTAGCAGGTTTCCCACAGCTAGGTTTTTGTTTCTACTGGTGGTGCACAGACACACATGGCCTTGGTACACATAAAATTTATTCTGCACATGGATGGAAAAGATTAGAAGGAGCAGTGCTAGAGAGTACAGTAAAGTTGTACACATTATCACAGCACCGGATGATCCTTCTTGGAGAGCTCATCAAAATACCCTGGAGCATCTACTGGAAAAGGTACTGGAGCATGTGTGGGAGAACACAATCTTCCATTAATTCGGTCAGTGTCCTTTTGTCCTACCCAAAGCTGTTTCTCCACCTTCCACCCTTACCCAGGAAGGTTCAGCTCAGACACATTATATGGTTTTCAAATCATGCACAAGAAGGTCAAATGACCTTCCCAACCTCAAACAGTGAGCCCACTCCCCTATAAACCGAGATCTTCCATTGGCCAGGATTATGCTGTTACCACTAAGCCAGTGACCTTCTCAAAAGCAGCAGTCCTGACACAAGGCCAGATCTCAGGGATGGGAAGAGCCAATAGCTTAGGTTGCTAGACTCACACTATTTTCAACACCAGATAAGAAGGATGGTTCTACGTATGCTAGGGGAGTGACTTTAACTGCCCAGGATTCCTAATACAGCAAAACCATCCGGTTTCTTCCTCTTCAAGGAGTCCACAGGCTGCAGTTTTTTATTCCAAGGCACGTAGCTTGTTACCTAAGCACTAAGCCTTCACAAATTCACATACTGAAGGGAGCAGAGGGGTACCCCTCTTGCTTCATCAGGGATATTTGTCACGTTAGTAACTCGTTGAAAGGAAATGCCCACCTGCCCGAGCTCAAATAGCACAGGGGCCTCTAAATGTCTGTGCCTCATTTCAGGTCCTCTGGTTTGCCCCTTTCTCTCCCCTAGGTTAAGTAGTTGAAGCATATGTTGGCAGATTAAGAGGTGAGCAGTGCAGACATGCTACAAAAGACACTCACGGGAAACACGACACAGACGTCAGGGTTTGTAACGATCTGATGTGGGTGCAACTGACACTACCCCCTTTCACAAACTCTGTCCAGTGTATCAGTGGAGTGATTGTCCAAGGGAAAGTTTGTCCTTTCTAACTAGTGCAGCTGTCCTTGAATACAGCTGGTTGTGCCAACAATAAGTGGATTAGGCCGGGCAGTTTTCCTCTCTGTACCTGAATTTCCTCCAATGCATTTTGGGGACCTAGCCTAGGAAGAGAAACTTTCTTGGATTACGAAGCAGTATGGCCCTTATCTTGAAATATTAAGCTAAGTTGTTCGCTTTGTGTATCATCTCTAGTCAACGGCATAGCATAGCTATTTCCCAGAGCTTTCATTCTGCAGGCCATTTATTGAGAGAAATTAAGTCAAATATAAACATTAGGGAGCCTCGTATCAACTGTAATTCTGAAAGAGCCAAAACTCAGGGGCTATGTCTAGACTGGCAAGTTTTTCCACAAAATCACATGATTTTGCGGAAAAACTTGCCAGCTGTCTACACTGTCCACTTGAATTTCCACAAGAACACTGACGATCTCATGTAAGATCATCAGTGTTCTTGCGGAAATACTATGCTGCTCCCATTCGGACAAAAGTCTTTTTCTGAAAGACTTTTGCGCAAAAGGGCCAGTGTAGACAGCACAGTATTGTTTTCCGCAAAAAAGCCCCGATTGTGAAAATGGCGATCAGGGCTTTTTTGAGGAAAACTACGTCTAGATTGGCCACAGACGCTTTTCCGCAAAAAGTGCTTTTGCGGAAAAGCATCCTGCCAATCTAGACGCACTTTTCCGAAAATGCTTTTAATGGAAAACTTTTCCGTTAAAAGCATTTTCGGAAAACCATGCCAGTGTAGACGTAGCCAGGGTGTGGCTCGGGGATAAAGTCCATTTTTTAGCTTTTTCTTTCCTGAAATCAACCTAGATAAAGACCACATGACACTATAGCGGCCTACTGACACCACATTCTAGTCATTGACTAGACGTGACTTGCTTTGTCCCACAGAAGTTTTATGCAGACTAATATATACAACTTGGCAGGTGCAAATCCACAGCTTGGGAGAGCTAGCTCAGTGGTTTGAGTAGTGGCCTCCTATAAACCCAGGATTGTGAGCTCAATCCTTGAGGGGGGACCATTTAGAGATCTGGGGCAAATCTGTCAGGGATGGTACTTGGTCCTGCTGTGAGGGCAAAGGACTGGACTCGATGACCTTTCAAGGTCCCTTCCAGCTCTATGAGATAGGTATATTTCCATATAAGAGTGCCCTGGACAACTTCAGGGCCTTGATTTGCTTTTGAGCAATGAATAGTTAGTTGCTAGAGATGTGGCCGCCAGGGAGCAAAAGCCAGGACTTGCAGCGGTGTTACTAATATTATGACACATTCCTTCTGGCATGAATATGACATCTGCCTGCCTCTTGCCACACGGACACAGAAGAGCAAGCAAAACTGACACCTACTGGTTGGCAACTTGAATTACATCTCTAGGCCCGTCTGTGTCTCATGTCTTTCAATCAGTAACCAAAGCCAGGAAGGAGGGGATCGGGGAAGGCTGCAGGCAGAAGCTTTATAGTTAAGTCTCTAGGAATAATACTGTTTTCCTTCTCCCAGTAAGAGTCTCTGTTCCAGGTTAGGAAAAAGTGGTTTTATGATATTTATCATCATTGTGGCAACATCACTTTGTTCAAACTGTTCATAAGCCCGTTGATAGTTTACTTCCCCTACACACAAAGAAAAATTCCTTGTCCTTGCTTCTTTGTTCACGAGAGCCTTAAATCCTTCCACTAGGAATGATTCCTCTCTGTTTTATCAAGTTATTCCCCCCTCCAAGCTTTTAAAAGAGACCTGATTTAAAACAAAAAAAAAAGTCAGCTAAGTGTTTGTATTATTTAAGAAAATGTGGGGTCCCTTGCCACAGATTCTAGGAATGCCCCTCCCAGAGCAAAATCACATTCTGCAAGCACCTTTTATGGATTGCTTAGATTTTGAGAGTCAGGTTGTTTCTCTCTTCCATACTCAGCAGCTTCAAAGCCACCTTCCTCCAATCCCACCAGATTCAAACTGCATTTCTGCTTTCATTTTGTCACTTGTGACAGATCAGTGAACATTTGAAACACAAACCCAGGAAACAGAGCCAGAGAAAATGTCCCTTCTTAGTATTAGGTGGACTCTGCCTTATTTGTAAGAAGGCAGAGTTTATCTTGCAATAAAATTGATAAATAATCAAACTGGATACTTGTTTTGTTTGTATAAACCAATCCAGACACACCTGTGTTTTAGATCAGGTGATGAACCATGCTGAGTTTGCAGGGCACTGGAAAACACCCTTGGCTATAAGCAAGATTAGTTTTGTATAGCTGGTTTTCCTCAAACTTCCCCTCCAAATAGAAATAGGAACATCTTTAATCAATAAATTGATGCCTCCAGCATCTGAAACTTCTCACAGTGACCGAGTACAGGGCAATCATTTAAAGAGTAAATAATCTCCTCTATTTGAAGAGATCAAAGTGTTTTCTGGAGGTGAATCAAGCCTCACAGCTGCTGTGTTATCTTCAATAACCCTACATAGGCCTAGATTCTAACACTCAGCCCTGTGCATTAGCCTCTGCCCTGTCCTGTTCTATTTGTGGAAAGCTTTCAGCCTGTGGGTTTCTAGTGATTTTATATGAGTGAGTTGTGCCAGTAATTCCCCACCTCCTAACTTTAGAGCTAAGAAGGGAAAAGCCCCTCTAGCCTTATCCCACCTTACAAAATCAGCCACTACCATTTAGAAAGAAAATGCCTGCTAGCAATGCAGAGAACAAAAGCCAGCCTTCATTAAACTACATTCCATTTTGCTGGGGGCAACACAGACCTAGTTTCTCTCTAAGTTTCCCTAGCAGACTGCCTGTATGAGAAAGAAAGGGAAAAAAACACCCCCCATGCAGTTTTTAAAGGTTCCTGATGTCATGCACCCACTTTTTCCACCAATCATTGCTTTCAAGCTGTTTCCTCTGCTCTATTTTTTGCAGCTGGTGAAAATAATGTAGCTTCCCCAGGTGCATTCCCTTAGGTTCTCTGGCACTTACTTTAAGCCTGTGTGTGCAGACAGAGACACACTTCACTGCTCACTCAGGTCCCCACACACACACCCTGCTGGCATTGCCACTCCCCACACATCCATTCCTGGGCACCCCACTTTTTTGGTAAAAGTGGGCATTTGTCCCATTTTCCTTGAAAAAGACAGCCAGGAGAGGGCTGAAAAAACAGGATGAATGATCCCCCATTATGGACCAGAGCCACAATGTGGGGTCAGATGTGACTTTTCAAGACAGGGAGTATTGGATCAACAGTTCTGGTTCAGGGGGCAGATGCCAGCACAGGATTGTATTAGCACCCTGATGCCCATTCTGCCTCACATCAGCAGACCTCCACCTGCATCACCTCATAATCACTGTATTACACTACAGACAGTGGCATGTTTCTATTCCCTGCCCTGCTACCGGCCTACTGGGTCAGGCTGGGCAAGTCACTTAGCTGATTCATGCCTCAGTTTCCCCTTCTGAAAACTGGGGTGATGATGCCCATGAGCTCTTTTGCAGAGTGCTTTGAGACCTGAGCAGGATGGGGGGCATAGACTAGCTTTAATAATATTGACAATGCCATACTCCTTTATGTACGTTATCATATTCATAGCCATAGCTGCTCAATTTCCATGACCATATCAGGATTAATAGCTGTCCATACATGCATGGGTGCCAGGTTTGCATAGTTTTTGGTGATGCCCACACCAGGTCCATAGGACAGACAGG